CATCAGTGACTGCTTGCAATAAACATCAGTGACTGCCTGCAATAAACATCAGTGACTGCTTGCAATAAACATCAGTGACTGCTTGCAATAAACATCAGTGACTGCTTGCAATAAACATCAGTGACTGCTTGCAATAACATCAGTGACTGCTTGCAATAACATCAGTGACTGCTTGCAATTAAACATCAGTGACTGCTTGCAATAAACATCAGTGACTGCTTGCAAATAAACATCAGTGACTGCTTGCAATAAACATCAGTGACGCTTGCAATAAACATCAGTGCTGCTTGCAATAACATCATGACTTTCTTGAATAAACATCATGGGCTGCTTGCAATAAACATCTGACTGCTTGAATAAAAGGACCCTTTAAACTGTGAAAGGGGAAAAAAAGGGACTTGAAATTTAGTTTTAATTCTTAAAACAACGTATTTGTTTCTTAATTAAAATTAACTGTTTTTTTAAATGGACCCTTTGATTTTTAATTTTTGAATAAACTGTTATTTATTTTCATTTAATGTAAAATTATTTAGTGTTTGTTAAAATTTACCTGTTAATTTTTTTAGATTTCTTGAAAAAAATAATTTTTTTAATTTATCTGTATTAAACTGTAGTTTGTTTTCTTAATTATCTTTACAACTGTAGTTTTTTGTTCTTAGATTATCTTAACACTGTAGTTTAGTTTTTACTTAGATTACTTGAAAATAAAACGTATTTAGTGTTTATTTTATTTATAACTGAGTTTGTTTCTTAGATTATGTTAAATGATTAGGTTCTTAGATTATCTTGAAAAACTGTAGTTTTTTTTACTTAAGAAAATTGGTTTTTTTTTAATATTATATAAATGTTTTTAGGTTTTTTAGTTTTTAACGTGTTGTGTTTAGTTTTTTACCTTAATTTTTTACTTGATAACTTGAATAAATGTAGTTTAGTGTTTCTTAATTATTTGTTGTATTAGTTTTTTTTGAAATTGATTTATTTTGTTATTTTCCTTGATTTTTTCTTATTTTTGTTTTTTTAAATACTTGTTTTAAAATAAAAACCTAGTTCTGTTTTTTTAAAATTTGCTTTCAATAAAAATTTTTTTAAATTTGCTTAAAAAAGCCCAAACTGATGTTATGCGTTTAATAAACATAGTGATCTTGCAATAAACATCAGTGACTGCTTGCAATAAACATCAGTGTGCTTGCAATAAAACATGTTGAAACATCTGTTTGTAAACTTAGTGTCTTGCAATAAACATCAGTCTGTTTGCAATAAACTTTAGTGATGCTTGCAATAAACACTGGTTAAAAAATCATGACTCTTGAAAACATTATGGTTCAAAACACTACTTCTTCATAAACTAGTGACTTCTTAATAAACATGTGATGCTTGCAATAAACATCCTGCTTGCAATAACATCAGATGCTTGCAATAAACATCGGGAAACTTCAATAAACTCAGTGCTGCTTGCAATAAACATAGGAGCTTGAAAAACACAGTGACTGTTGCTAAAAAAAACTTCGGTAAAATCAGTACCTTCATAATCTATGCCAATAAAATTGCTGTTGCAATAAACATCAGTGACTGCTTGCAAAAAACATGGCTTAATAAACATCAGTGGGGCTTGCAATAAACTCATGACTTGCAAAAACATCGTGATTTTTATAAAATCATGATTTTCAATAAACATCAGTGACTGCTTGCAATAAACATAGGACTGCTTGCAATAAACATCAGTGACGCTTGTAACATTAGATAGGGCTTTAAAAAACATACTTTCAATAAACATTACTGCTTGCAATAAACTTGAGCTTGCAATAACATCAGGTTTCTTGCAAAAATTATGCCTGCTAAAACATTGACCCTTTAAATAAACATCAGTGACTGTTTGCAAAAACATCAGTGACCGCAATAAACATCAGTGGACTGCTTGCAATAAAAATCGTGCTTTTAAAATAAATCAAAACCTGCCTTTGCAATTAACTCTGGTTTTCAATAAAAATCAGTGACTTTTGCAATAAACATCAGTACTTTCAATAAAACCTCGTTGCTGCAATAAAACAGTGATGTTTCAATAAACATCATGACTCTTGAATAAACACATGACTGCTTAAAACATCAGGCTGTTGCAATAAACATCAGGATGCAAAAAATCAGGACTGTTGCAATAAACCCCGTGACTGTTGCAAAAAACAAGTGCTGCTTGCAATAATAACTGAATATCTGACTTCTTGCAAAAACATCGTGACTGCTTGCAATAAACAATTCTTGCTTGCAATAAACAAGTGATGCTTCAATAAACATCAGTGTGCTTAAATAATCATGATGCAAAAATATGACTTGCATAAACATCAATTGCAGATAAACTCGTCTTGCATAAACATCATGACTTCTTGCAATAAAATCAGTACTTTGCAATAAACATCAGTGATGTTCAAAAACAGTGACTGCTTTAAAAAAAATGTGATCTTGCATAAAAACTTGTTCCCAAAAACATCATGACTTTTCAATAAACATCAACCTTTACAATAACATCAGGATTTCTTCTTTCAATAAACTCAGTGACTTAAAAATACTTTAAAAAAATTTTACTGCTTAATAAAATCAGTGGCTTGTATTATACTCATAAAAAATTTTTTGGGGAAAAAACATCAGTGAATTTCAATAACATCAGTGGCCTTTCAATAAAATGATGCTTGCAATAAACATCAGTGACTTTCTTGCAATAAACATCGTGACTGCTTCAATAAAATCAGTGACTGCCTTGCAATAAAATCAGTGACTTGCAATAAACATCATGTGCCTTGAATAAACAGGGCTGCTTGCAATAAACATCAGTGATTGCTTAAAAAACATCAGCTGCTTTGCAATAAAATCAGGGCTTCAATAAACACAGGGTTTAAAATTGTGACCTAAACATGGACTGGCAAAAACATCAGTGACTGCTTGCAATAAACATCAGTGACTGCTTGAATAAACCTAGTGACTTTGCAATAAACATTGATGCTTAAAAACAGTGACTGCTTGCAAAACAACTGTTAAAACAAGTTGCTTGCATAAACATCAGTGACGCTTGCAATAAAACCCGGTGCTTAAAACATCAGGTGCTTTCAATAAACAACAGTGATGCTTGCAATAAAATCTTGATCTTAATAAACATCAGTGCTTTCAAAAACATCAGTGTGCTTAAATAAACCAAGTGCTGCTTGCAATAAACATGGGGGACTTGCCTTAATAAAAACCATAAACTCTGCTGAAAAACAGGCTGCTTGCAAAAAAATATGACTGCTTGCAAATAAACATCAGTGACTGCTTCAATAAAACAACAGGACTGCTTGCAATAAACACAGTGACTTTCTTGCAATAAACATCAGTGACCTGCTTCAAAACTTGGGAAAAAATCCTTTCTTAATAAACTAGTGACTGTTGCAATAAACATCATGACTTTAATAAACTGCTTTGCAAAAAATCATGACTGCTTGCAATAAACATAGCTTTCAATAAACATCAGTGATTTTAATAAACATCAGTTCCCTTTCAAAAATCATGACTGCTTGCAATAAAATCAGTGGCTTTGCAATTAAACCAGTTGCTTGCAATAAACATCAGTACTGCTTGCAATAACTTCATACATGCTCTTGCAATAAAAAACATAACGGCTGTTGCAAAAACATCAGTGAGCTTGCAATAAAATATGACTTTCTTAAAAAACATGCTGCTTAAAAAAACCAGGCTGTTGCAAAAACTCAGTGACTTGAATAAACATCAGTGACTTGCTTGAAAAACAATCAGTAAACTCGAAAAAACATGGGCTGCTTCCAAAACACAGTGACTGCTTAAAAATATGCGCAAAAACGATCTTGAATAAAATCATGACTTGCTTAATAAACATCATGACTGCTTACAATAAACTCAGTGGTTTCAATAAACGTGACTTTTAAAAACATAGCTGCTTGCAAAACATCAGTGTGCTTGAAAAAAAACCCTGTGCTTTCATAAACCTTTCTTAAAAAAATCAGTGCCTGCTTGCAATAAACATCTGACTGCTTGCAATAACAAACCTTTGCAATAAATCTGCTCTTCAATAAACATCATGCGTGAATAAAATTTTTAAAACTCATGTACTTTCAATAAACATCAGTGACTGTTGCAATAAACTCATGACCCTTTCAAAAACATCAACTGTTGCAAAATAAAAATAGTCTGTTTCAATAAACAAGGACTGCTTAAAAAAAGTGATTTTCAATAAACTCAGTGATGCTTTTCAATAAAATCAGTGACTTTGAAAAAACGGAAGCCCAAAAAACACAGGACGCTTGCAAAAAAAATTTTGCCCAAAAAAAAAACAGTGACTGTTAAAAAACATCAGTGACTTTCAAAAAACCAACCCCAAAAAAACCCGCTGAAAAAACCCTTCTTGAAAAAAAAAAATGTTAAAAAATTTCCCCCTTTTTCCCAAAAAACAAGGCCCTTTCAATAAACACATGGCTTGCAATAAACATCAAACGCTTCAATAAACTCGGGCTGCTTAATAAACATCAACGTTGCCATAAAACGTTGAAAATTTTAAAAAAATCAGGCGCTTGAAAAAAATCAGGGTGTAGTTAAGAGGTTGCACTACTTCGCAATTCCTCCTAAGAAAGCCTTTATTAATATTATGCGACCCAGTTCTGGTCTCTATATTACAAAATAAACACGAACACCATGGTAAACAGACGGAGTAGTATTTCATAATTATTATATTTCCTGTACGAAATCTTTCCTACGAAGATAGATTAATATTATTATTTGGAAGGGAAGCACTGAACCCTTATAGATCCTACAGTGACTAAGAGAATGGAAGGTAATCAAGATAGTATCAGAGAAGGGAAGTCTAGTTCTTGTTAAGTGAATCAAGAACCCTTCCCCAGCCGGAGGTATAATGAGTGCTCTGAACCCGGACTCTCCTCAGATTGAAACAAAGTTTATTTCTGTACAGTATATCTGAGTACTGAAAAATAAAAAAACGCTATGCATACGAAAGTTTTTTTTATTGCAGATACATGCATTACATAATGATACATGCATTACATAAATGATAGTCCGTTGTCTATATACAGTACATAATTATCTGATAATCATAATCAAGTCAGATGTAAACACTGCTTACAAGTTCCTTGCTAAAACTTAACACACAAAAATATCTATAATATGCACAATACATTAATTATAAATGGTTGGCGTTTCATACATAAGTAAATATTGAGATGGTCTGAATATCTGTGACTAGAGGCTGGGCTACTGATATAACATTACCAACGAAATATAAAAGTTTTCTTAGACAAATACAGATATAAAGGAAGAATCTGTTCTAAGATGGAACTTATTAGTGGTTATACAGGCAAGGTTGTAGCTGTATGCTAGTTCATAAGGCGCCTTGGTCCTCAGGGCTAGGTTACCTCCGTACGTAGCCTCGTCTAAGTAAAGGTTAGCGGACACCTTGGATAAGATACTATGCTGGAAGTCTACCTCAGCGCCGTACTTATTGTTGGGCAGCGTCAGGAAGGCTTTGGGAGCAAATTTGTTAAGGGGAACATCTAACTCAGCCTCAATAAATTCAAAGTGTTCAACGGAAGTTTTAAGTTTAAGGTTACCTTTAATGGCAGTGTCTGTGTTGGCGAACTGAGTATTCACAGTGAAACTCACTGGCTTATCTAGCGATATAATGATGGTAGTCACTTCATCCTTCAAGTACTGGCCAACGAAGTTCATCTTCTTATACCCCTTGAAAGGAGTAGCAACCTTCAGGTTCATTTTAATATCCTGAGAAGACGGAATTTCCACATCAAGAACACCAGAAATAGTTTTCACAGAATTCTTTAGGGCAGTTTTCAACTGCATGTATTTCTTCATGTCTCCAGTGACTGCAGCTTCTGCTCTGACGAAACCTGTTGGGATGTAAGGAGACTGCACCATTGTCATCAAGGTCTGGTTGTCTCTGTCAAATTCAAAATTGAAGGTGTTGATATTTTCAGAAAAGTTGGCTGCTACTTGTAATTGAATAATATTCTCAAAGTCCAAAGAAGCTTGCAATGTAGCTTTGTTGATGTTTTTGAAAGGCGTTTCAATGTACAAGAAGAAACTAGCTCCATTATTTCTCATAGAGGTACTTGCTTCCAGAGAATGTCGTACACTTCCTACTGCCAGCTCTGCTTTAATTATTTTATTTGCCTTGTTGTCACTAAGCATGCAACTGAAACTATAGTTATCTTCAAGAAGTGGAGACATGAGTTCCACAGTAGCCAACCAGTCAGAAGGCATCTTGCTGGTAACACGCCAAGTAATCTTGGCCTTATGGATACCCGTTGGAGTCTCAATCACAAGCCCAGCACTGGCAGCAAGAAATTCGAATGAAGCTGTCACCTTGGAGGAGCAAGGAGTGTCTATCTTAACAGTGACTTGAACGCCAGTCCTTGCATCAATTTCAAAATACAAGGAGTAAGTGTCAGACGTAACAAGGGTTACATCAAAGTTAATCTGCTTGAAAGAAGCATCTGGGACTGCAATGTCAAAGGTAAGTTTTCTTGTTCCCTTAATTAGTGGAGAGATCAGCTCCAGCCCTCCCTGAACATGGCTGTTGACCACTACGGAACTCACCATGAATTCTGTGAGTTTGATCCTCATTTACAATAATGAGTGTGGCTTCCATGGTTTCCAGAGATGAGTATTTAGCTTCAAGAGAGAACTGTCGTGGAATATTTCTGATAAGAGAGTCTATGGTGACCTTGAAGGATGATTCATCCATGGTGTATCCAACACTTATCTTATCATTGCCCAGTGTCATTTCTATATTTTTGTGTGTTGAGCTCAAACCATTCAAGATGAAGTTCCACTTAATTCCATCATAGGATCGTGAATGAAGATCAAAACCAGCTGTCAGTGTTTCAGGGGACAGCTGGTACTCAATTCGCAGTTCATGTGTATTATAAGGCTCGATAATTCTAAGGTCAGCCTCTAAGACTGACATAGCTTCCACTTTAATTTTCCCATTAATAACGACACTTGAGAGACCTGACAAGGGTGTATACATCTCTACAGTTCCTTTATATCCTTCACTGAGGGAAGAACCAACAAGATTACTCTTCAGCGTGAATGGTTTACCTGCTACATCAACTGTCACATAGCCATCAATTTTATTATTCAAGTTTAAGTTGAGTTCTGCAGTTATTTTTGGCGTTCTGTGCGAGGGAAGTATAACCTCAGCATGGGCCATGATATTTTTACTGACGTTAGACAATGTAAACAAACCTCCCATTTTCTCCATACCACGGAATGGTGTGTGAATAATAAGCTTTCCTTCACAGTACTGCTGCCCCTCACATTGGAAGAGGAAGTCTATTAAGAATCTATTACCAAAGATGTCTCCTTCTAGTATTGCTCCACGCTTAGTTTCTTCACCCGTAAAACCACCTCGCAGTTTAAGGTTGTAATCATCGAGGCCAATTTCTGTGAAGAAACTGTCTGAGGAGATAGACCGGCGGACCCGCAAACTGTGCTCACCTGTGTAAGGAGACGTGAGACGTGCTTTCACACCCTCGGAATTGTAAGTAAATTCTGCTTCCACTTCTTGATCATCTTCACCTAGTTCAAGTTCAACATTAATGAAGAGCTCATCATCACTTTTAAATCCATAGTCCACGTCATATTTAACTCCTTCATATCCATAATTAGGGATGTCGGCAAAGCCACTGAATCCAGATCTGAAATTATCCTTGCCCTTTACAGAGAAAGTAATCTCTCTGTCTGCACCGTATCCTATAGTCAAAATACGCTCATCATTTTTGTATCCTACGCCAAACACTAATGCTGGCAGAGGTGTAAGTGTACTCTCAATTAAACTTTTGAAGTAGTAGCCATTATTTTCATGCCTCTCAAAGTGATTATGAACTTTCAGTTCGAAGTCATTAAATTTTAGTTCGAAGACACCATCACGAGATTCAAGATTAAATTCCGAGTTCAACTTGAGGTGGAAAGTCCAGAGGTTTTCAAGTAAAGACTCTCCATCAATCTCAATGTATAACCTCTCACTGTTACGGAAACCTTGCAAACTAAAGTTTATTCTGTAGCCATCAAACTCCAGCTCAAAACCGGCTAACTTCTTAGGCTCGGTTCCACCTCCTGCAAGGAAGTCTTCTACATTATACGAAGCAGCTATCTTGATCGGATCTCTTCCTGGGCCTGAGAAGGATAATTCGAAGTCCGACTTGCCTCCCTGGATATCTGCGACTCCTTCAAAACTGTAATGAATATCATTTCTTTGATAATTTACCGTGGCTTGTGCCTTCGTCCAGCTTCCTTTGATATTAAGGTTCCTCACCACTTCAAAAGGTGTTGTAAGAATCAACTCAAAGTCTCCCTTCTTCTTAGACTTTTTGCTAAATGTGAAATTTAAGTCAACTGTGCGAGAGCCGCGTGCATATTTCAGCGTCACCACTTTGTTCTTACTATCCAGATCGAACACTAATTCTCCTTCAATTGATTCAAACTTTTTGAATGGTGTAGTGAGTTTTCCCACGACTGAATTCTTACTTATATCAAACTGTACAGTTACTGCCTTGTCATTCCACTCGAGGCCACCTTTTAAATGGAAGACATCTACCGTATCAGCAGTGACATAAACCCGGGCGTGAGATAAGGATTCCAGTGAAGACTCTACTACAATTTCACCTTTCAGTGAATTATCGGTGGCTTGTCTGCGCCAGTTAATGTTCACAAATTTATCCTCTTGCCCTGGAGTTTTTCTGGAATATTTGACTTCAGCGTTTGCATCTCTAATATTGGTAACATCATACTTAATAAATATGTTAATATCTCCAAGGAATTTTGATTTTATTTCAATAGTTCCATCAAAAGTATCAAATTCTTCACTTCTGTTCCAGTTAGCTTTTACATAGGCTTGTCTTCGGCCAATTTTGGCAACAGCTGACAAAGACTTACTGGTTACGTCTCTGAAGTTATGAGTGAGTGTTAACTGAACTTTTCCCAGTTCTCCGAAAATTGGCACATCCCACTCTACTGTGTTACGCGAGCGCTTAGGATTCAGGTTAGAAATGTTAATGTCAATTTTTGACTCACGATCATGGACTTTTATTTCTGCATGAAACACAAGTTTACCAGAAACGTCGTAGTTGCCAGATACGGAAATTTGTTCATATTGAGGAATATTTGAAGTTGCTGTCCATTTAAATGTGGCAGATCTTTGCTCGGCATCTCGAAGGAACTCTTCTATGGTGTGGCTACCATGGTATTCGCCATAATCAAAGGAACCCTCGCCGGTCACAACACCATCATCTCCCTTATTCCACTTGGACGTAAACAAAAATTCTTCGCTCTGGAAGGGTCCAGCCTTGATGCCTCCTTCGATATCAATATGAGCAATGTCCGTGATAGTTCCCTTTAATTTCAGCATTCCGTACCTTGATTCTCGACCCAATTTCAAGAAATAATCCCTGAAATTATGTTGCCTTTTAAATTTCCACTGAAGGAAAATCTTTTCAGTAAAGTCAGAGGTGAGAATCATGGTAGACTCTTGAAGACCAAGTTTCCCCTGTGCTTTGTAAGCTACATTACCAATATTTAAGGTGATAACAGCGTCTTGGGGATTTTGCGTGTCCCAGCTGCCTGAAATGTGCTTCCACGGAGCGTTTGATCTGTCAGGAGTTGTTATCTTGATATCGTAGTCACCGTGCGAACAGTCTTGCAGATTGATGTTATAAGAGATATCAAATATGTAAAGCCCGTGTGGTACGGGATTAATTTCTATCCTCAAGGTTTTAGGTTGTGAGGCTCGATTTACATCGATTTTTGCATTGATAGTTCTTGGTACCTCTCTGAAGGAGTTGGTAATGACAGCGTTAATAGTACCTTCTTGAGGTAGGTTCCCGGAGCCTGACAATTCAATTTTAAATTCCTTTTCCTCTATACCATTTTGAGAATCAATCTCTTGTTTTAAAACGAAATTAAAAGTGGTGAAACCTTCTCTGTGAACATGAATCACCGAGTGACGGTGAGGAAGCCGTATGTGCAGTTCAAAGTGCGCTTTTTGATTGGCTTTATCACCCTCAAAGTCAACAGTGAAAACATCAACATTATTAACATTTACTTTATGGGTAACTGTAACAACATCACCAATTAAAATCTTGTACTCTGAATCATAATTTCTAAGAGCAGGGAATCGGGAGGTGAAGGAAAGTTTGCCTGATAAAGGCGAAAGATTCACTTTGAGCTCAGTGTTTTGTACAGGGTTTGGCACCAACAGATGGGACTCAATAGCATTCCTTCTCGTGTATTTAAAAATGAAATGAAAATCTGAGCTCGAAGATGACGCCTCAATCTTAATATATTTTTTCCTAAAATTATAACTGATTTTTCCTTGAACGCTCTGGTAATTTTCGTAAGGTGTGGTCACATTGATAGTGAAGTCACTATCTACGTCATGTTGTCCTTGTATACTTATGGTGACCTTATCTTCGTTGATAGTACCGCTGACGTAGCCCTCGATAGCATCCTGGTCAAGCTTGCCGGTCAAAGCTAAGAACTCCCATCCTTGTAATTCACTCTTAACCTCCAAACTGAAAGCCCCGCGTCCTCCCGTTTTCACTACAGACGCTGTTACGTAGTTATTGTTCCTTCTCCATTCGGCTTTATACGAATTCTCATCAACTTTCTTAATTTCCCAAGTTATTTCCTCAGCTCGTGCAAATGGAGTTTTGAGGTGGAGATTGATAGAGTTGAAGCTGGTCAGCAGCGAGGCTTCACCAGCATCATTCATCATATTGAACTCAAGAGATCGCTTGGCACGGTTCAAAGAACCAGAGACATTCAAGTTATTGAGACCAGTGAAGGGAGTCTTAAGTTTAAAGTCCATTGTACCTCCGATTAGTTTTCCAGAGATAGCAATAGCTTTCACATTACCATCTCTCTCAAGAGAAATCTCTAGTGTCTTATCCTCCCGAGTGAAATCGACTTTACCGTCAAATTTGACATTGGTCCATCCGGAGAATGGAGACAGAAGATCGCATTTGAAATGAGCAATTTTCTCCTCAACATAGCCGCTTACTGCGAAATAATAGGTGTTCTGGCAGGCAGTTATGTGAGCTGACATCAGCTTATCTCTGTTGCCAACATCAAACTTAATCTGAAGGGACATATTGCGGTAGTTGTTGATGGGGGTAGTGGCTTGAAGAGTGATGCTCATTGATGCTGGTGACACACTTAGGCCGCCATTGAGCACATAATTGTTCTCATTGTAGACGACAGCCACTTTAGCTTTCTTTTGACTTGAAGTCCATGTATAAGCAGTTGAAACAGATACAGTCTTTAAGGCCGTAAATGGTGTTACAAGTTCAAAGAACATGTTGTCCACAGCATAAGATATATTAATGGAGAATGTGTGTAGACCGAATTTCATGATGCCTTTGCCAGTCTTCGTGACAATATCGATGTTACCTTCGGCAGCAATTGTATTAAAGTCTTCGAAAGGCATTTGGAATTTAATTATAAAACTGTCTGGGCCATACTGTCCATAGGCTGAGAAAATCCACTCTTGAGAATTGTGATTAATTTTGACACTGGCTTCCATTTTTCTGTTATTATGATCCACAAATAATGCATACTCAGCACCGAGAACTTCAAATCCTTCAAAAGGTGTTTTTATTTTGAGGGAACCGCTTTCAAGATTATAACTTGCGTCAATTCTGAAAATCTTGGAAAAGTTGTCTTTCTGAACGGATATCTCAGCAAACTTGTTATCGGAGATGATGTCATAGCTGATGTCCATGGTGAGCTTATTGCATCCCTCCACAGGTGTATTAATACCGACATATAAAGCGGATTTCATGGGAGTAAAACTGGCTTGAGTACTGAACTCAAAAACTTCCTCATTCCTCTCGAAGTGCACTGAACCTTTGATGCCATCGTTGAAAGCATCCCAGCTGGCATTAAATACGACGTTATTAATAACCGCAATTGGAGTTGTCAATGCCAGGTTGATTTTGTTTACATCCACGACTGCAGAAGCACGGAAATTGTAAGTGTTGTCATTTTTGACAAAAGAACCAACAAAGCTGTGTTGACCACGTTCATTCGTGTAGTGACCATTGACCTTCAAAACTTCAAAACCTGTGAACGGAGTAACTACATCAATCACGAAGTTGTCTCTATTCATTTTTAGGGCTATGAAAAAGTGATGCTTATGAGTCTCCTTCTTAAGATTCAGCTCAATAGTCTTAACATCGCCTGTAAAGTCATACTTGGCATAGATCTCCAGGTCAGTGTACTCTGGGATGGGCGAGCGAATTAGTATCTTAAAGAAACCAGTTTTGTAAATAAACTGACCAGTGAACTCGGCGGAGTAAATAATATCATTATTTATGAATGCCAATCGGAATGTTTTATCCGCGCCAATCACAGTAGTGTCCAAGCTTAGTTCAATGTTGTTAACATCAGCGATTGGAGTCTTGATGTTAATTTTAAGTTTGGGAGTGTGACTGTTGAACATAATGTTTCCACTTGCTTCATATTTCTCATATCCCTTATCAAACTCGATATTTCCAGTAAGTCCATTGTTGTTGATGGTATAAACTCCATTCAGTGCAAGCTTCTCCCAGCCGGAAATGGGTGTTGTGATCTCTCCAGTAATTTCATTTTGTGTTATAAAAAGATGCCCTTCAATGGTACTAACAACGCCTTCCTTGTCGTTAGTGAAGGCTACCTTGTAAGGCCTGGTAGTGAAGTCAAAGCTGCCACGCACTGAGACACTTCTCCAGCCAACCACAGGAGTAGAGATTGTGGCCAGAGCGTAGCCCTTGGTGACTCCTTCAGCAGCTGCCTCCAGCTGCCACTTGTACTGCGCATCGTTATGATTAGCTGTTACTTCAATCGTCTTTACTGAGTCCTTCATATTCCAGCGGGCTTCTCCACCCACAGTTTTTATAACCTCAAATGGAGTGATTATATCCAATTTCATTTCTGGGGTTAGAGGATTAGAAAGCTTGATAATGCCATTAAGATAGAGCTCTTTAGTACCGAATAAAGCCCTGAACTCCGCCATTTTTGTCCCACCTTGTAAATTGTATGTTATTTTGACAGAAATGTTCTCAAAATTCGCGAATGGAGTAGTGATAGTCATTTCAATCTTTCCTTTTCCATGTTTAATTTCCATGGTGCCACTGACCTTAATTTTTGTGTCATTTCTTGAGATATTAGCCGTGATAGCAGATTTGGAGACGAAGAATGACGCGTTGAGAGTTTCCCAGCCTCTGTAGGGAGTCGTACCTTCGAAAACCAGTGTTTCTCCCTCAAGTTTCCCGATGAAATTGATTTCCTGGGTGCCATGAGTCATTTTGATGTGAACCTTCTTCTGGGTTTCGAAATCGTACATGATGTAAGCAGCCATATTAGACACTGTAGGCAATGGAGACTGGAATTTAATTTCCATATTGGCTCGGTTGTGTTGATAGAACCACATGCTTTCAAGGCTTCCCTTTAGATCATTAGCCTCAACGTTGATAGTGAATCCGTTGGTATTAACTTTGCTACTGAGTGCGTAGATGTTTGAGTTTAACTTTAGCACCATGTTCGTAATGAAGGGCATAGTCATATACTGATACTCCCCACTGAATTCAAAAGAGCTGACTGCCTCAAATGGAAGTTCAGCAGCTAGAGACCACTTTGCATTTTTCACGTGACCAGCCAGGGACCCGGTAAACTCATATTTTCTATCAGCATTTACAAGTAAGGACACTTTCTTCTCAGGGGAGATAATATCATAAGATGATGTAACTGATAGAGGAACTGAGAAGTAGGTGGACTCAATGTCTACATGACCGTCGAACATGCCTGGCTTCCACGTTCCATTGATATTAATGATGGTTTTATTGGCTCCCCGAGTAAGCTCAAGAGTAGCGGCTAGTTGTGGCTGGAAGTCCAGGTTAAGTTTGTATCCTAGCGGTTGCCAGAACGGTGTTGTCAATGAAGACTCGCTATAGAAAGAGGAGGTGCCAAACTTTGCCACTGTGGCAATATCAATAATGCTTCCTGGCTTATATTCAATTCTAATAGCTGGTTTGTACTCTGCTCCGTCATCTTGATAGTGAAGGTCGACCTTAATATTCTCATAATTCTTCCACGGAGTGCCGAGGATGACTTGAGCGTCGATTTTACGGGAGTCTTCAGAAATTCTGGGATCAACTGAAGCCATGAAATGTACACCTTCTTCACCCCACATATACCGCAGTTCGTGAGCGTAAGTGGTGCCACTGTAAGACTGTCTGTCACTTAATTTATACATCCCATTGATGGTAAAGGAACTATCCCAGTTGAGCAAGTCAACGAATCTAATAGTATGCAAGACGTCCAGAGACTGACTTCCTTTGGTGAGACTTATATTTGATGTTCGTATGTTTGCTTCCATTTTACTATCAATTTTCACATTTATATCATCCAAACCATTGAAAGTTGACGAGATTTCTCCTTCGAGGTTGAGCAACTTCTTCGCTGCATCTAAAATGCCATTAACTGTCACAGTAATACGTTCACCGTTGGCAATGGCATCTATGGCAGAGATCATCTCGTTGTCTGTAACTTTATGAGCAAATGAAAGTGAAGCCTTTGTATCTGGGCTGCTCAGTACAGCATCCAGCTTCATGTCACTTACAGAGATCATGTGACCCTCTGCATGCATCTTCAGGCTGCCCAAATTGGACCAGAATCTGGAAATCTCAAACTGGGAGGTAAAGCGTTGTCCATCATGGCTGTGTGACAAGGTTGCAGTTAGTGGAGAAGTAAATGGAGTGATGAACCTTAAGTCTCCAGAGATCGCTGTTAAACTCCCGGTAACTGTTTTGTCACCATTCATATTAAGCATCATCTTCTTCTCTCCAGTTTTGCCTTCAACAACTAGATTAATATTTCCTTCACTTAAAGTATATTTGACATTAGCATTAATCTGCGGCAAAGTAGACAATGTGCTGGTCATTCTCATAACGAGAGTTATGTCTTGTATATCTCCGAGGTTCACTTGTCCCTTCAGGGTGATGGTACAGGTCTCGGCGCCGTACTTTGCCTCCAGTTTGGACCACAGAGCTGAGTTAAGTAGCTCGTGATGGAGAGTAACATACACGTCCTCAGTTAAGGGAGAGGTAAAGATTGCTGTGGCGTCTATACCACTGTCACTGGGAGTTAGCTGGAAGCTGCCTTTCATTTCACTCTTATTCCAGAGACCCACAAAGTTGGTTTTTATAGTGGCGTAGCCCATGTTATGGTCCAGAATGAAACTGATCTTGTCGAAGCTTTCCAGAGTGCTGCTGAAGAGAATCTCGGCGTTGAGCGCATTAGTATACATACCAGGCTGCAACTTGCCGTTGACTGTGAGTACCATGAGTTCAGTGTTCCTCCAGGTGGCCGAGGCTCGGCTGGTGATCTCATAATCCTTGAGAGTTATGGTAAAGGTGACATCTTGTTTCTCCCATCCCTGGAAGGTAGTCTCCACGGCAGTAGCGAGAGATATGGCGTCGCCCAGGGAGTAATGAACGTGGGCCGATACTTTCTGCTCAGGTGACCACTTGGCTTCCATCTCTATTCCATCGTCAACAAGCTTGAAAGAAGCGGAGGCTTTCCTTTCTTGGAACCTGTAACGAAACATGTAATAATAGTGTTTATCTTTGCCCGTCAGATGTATTAACACCGTCACACTCATGGCTGTGTTAACAGTCACAACTTTTCACAACGGACACACAAATTGCAGATGAAACTAGAGGACGTTTTGATCCTGCCTATGACCTAGCTTTGCCTCAGATTTGTGAGTTAGATGTGCAAAGCTCAAAGCTATGGTATTGTGGGTTAGTTGTGAACAGTTCCAGCCATGGTATTGTGGGTTAGTTGTGAATAGTTCCACTCATGTATTGTAGGTTAAATAACAGAAAGGCACAATACCGTGACTGGAACAATGCACCAATAACCCGCACTACTACTACCTCTACCACTACTTTTCTTCCTTTCCTACTACCCCTCTTGTCCCGTCCCTGTCTGCCGCCCTATATATACTCCCTCTTGCTCTCCTTTTTGTTAGCGTAACTTCGTAAATGGTCCAACTCGGACCGACACGTCGTCGTAAGCTCCTCTCTCCTTTGTGCGGGTTATTTGTGTATTGTGGGTTAGTTGTGAATAGTTCCAGCAGTGAACACTTCCGGAGCCCTAATCATAGTCACCTATTTAAATGTCAACAAGATATTTAGTAAAAAAAATACATTATGGTCTTACCTGAAGGCAGCCTCAACATGGGATGGTGAGAGCTGTCCACTTATCTCGAAGGATTGGTTACGGTCACCATTCTTGTCCAAGTCGACACTGACAAGCAGTTTCTGTATTTCTTCAATTGTGGTCACCTATAAAAATGATATCCAGTGAAATTTTTTTAACGTTTTAATGTTATAAGAAATTCACATTTAACCCGCAAATTGAAGATAAAACTAGACGTTTCAGTCCGTCTTGAGTTGATGGAGATAAAAGGTGTAAAATACCGTGTTTATTTTTGCAAGAGTTGATAATAATCCTGGGTGTACCGAAACATTTAGATTCATCTCTGATTTGTGGGTTCCTTGTGAATTACTTCAGAAATGCCGCGAGCAGAGCGACTGCTATCATGACACTAATTTAAAATAACATAACCACGCTTATTTTTTTCCACAAGTTTTTTTCTTCTACTTACATAGGCATTAATGAAAATATGCTTGTAGACATTAGCATCGACCAGGATGGAACTGCGTGTGACTTCGAACTTCAGGGCAAACTCCCCAGGCCTGCCATTAACATCGGCACTGAAGTCAACACTGGCCTTAGTTTTATCCCCATATATACCTAAATTAGTGGTCACGGTGTTCTCCGGGGATTTGAAAGAGCCATCCATGAGGACATTAAACTTGCCGGGCTGTGAGTTATTTTGAAGACTTCCCTCTAGTATCGAGGTCTTCTCCCCCTCTGATGTAATCACACTTTTAGTCAGCTGGAAAATATATTTGTGTTAATGGTACCTTGATACGCTTAATACATATATTTTCGTATCAAATATAACGAATCAGCTGAAGATTCATATAACCTCTGTACAAAGGAAAACAATGATTATATATATATATTTTTTTTTCAACAAGTCGGCCGTCTCCCACCGAGGCAGGGTGACCCAAAAAGAAAGAAAATCCCCAAAAAGAAAATACTTTCATTATCATTCAACGCTTTCACCTCACTCACACATAATCACTGTTTTTGCAGAGGTGCTCAGAATACAACAGTTTAGAAGTATATACGTATAAAAATACACAATATATCTCTCCAAACTGCCGATATCCCCAACCCCTCCTTTAGAGTGCAGGCATTGTACTTCCCATTTCCAGGACTCAAGTCCGGTTATATAAAATAACCGGTTTCCCTCAATCCCTTCACTAAATATTACCCTGCTCACACTCCAACAGATCGTCAGGTCTCAAATACCATTTGTCTCCATTCACTCCTATCTAACACGCTCACGCACGCTTGCTGGAAGTCCAAGCCCCTCGCCCACAACACCTCCTTTACCCCCTCCCTCCAACCTTTTCGAGGACGACCCCTACCCCGCCTTCCTTCCCTTACAGATTTATACGCTCTCCATGTCATTCTACTTTGATCCATTCTCTCTAAATGACCAAACCACCTCAACAAACCCTCTTCAACCCTCTGACTAATACTTTTATTAACTCCACACCTCCTAATTTCCACACTCCGAATTTTCTGCATAATATTTACACCACACATTGCCCTTAGACAGGACATCTCCACTGCCTCCAACCGCCTTCTCGCTGCAGCATTTACCACCCAAGCTTCACATCCATATAAGAGTGTTGGTACTACTATACTTTCATACATTCCCGTCTTTGCCACCATAGATAACGTTTTTTGTCTCCACATATACCTCAATGCACCACTCACCTTTTTTCCTTCATCAATTCTATGATTAACCTCATCCTTCATAAATCCATCCGCTGACACGTCAACTCCCAAATAGAAGATTGAGACACTTATGTAACATATGGGAATCTTTATTCAGGAAACGTTTCGCCACACAGTGGCTTCATCAGTCCGATACAAAGTAGAAAGGCGTAAGGAGAGGAGGAGTTTGAGGTAATCAGTCCCTCAGCCTGTATTCGATGTGTTCAGCATAGGACAGTAGACGTCTGACACTGCAGCATCATGGGATCTTGTTACAAAGAATTCTTCAACACTTGTCCAACCTTTGGACGAAGACCTACTTCGACTAGTGGATGGTACCACTATGACCTCACCTCCTCCTGCTTCGCCTCACTCACTACAGTAATTAGCCACGTCTACTGCCCTATGCTGTACATTCTACAAGATTGATGGACTGAACACATCGAATCCAGGCTGAGGGACTGATTACCTCAAACTCCTCCTCTCCTTATGCCTTTCTACTTTGTATCGGACTGATGAAACCACTGTGTGGCGAAACGTTTCCTGAATAAAGATTCCCATATGTTGCATAAGTGTCTCAATCTTCAACTTGTCGGTTTTTCAAACCATTCATCACAACTCCCAAATATCTGAAAACATTCACTTCTTCCATATTCCTCCTCCCCAATTTGATATCCAATTTTTCTTTATCTAAATCATTTGATACTCTCATCACCTTACTCTTTTCTATGTTCACTTTCAACTTCCTACCTTTACACACATTCCCAAATTCGTCCACTAACCTTTGCAATTTTTCTTTAGAATCTCCCATAAGCACAGTATCATCAGCAAAAAGTAACTGTGTCACTTCCCATTTTGAATTTGATTCCCCATAATTTAGTCCCACACCTCTCCTGAACACCCTAGCATTTACTTCTTTTACAACCCCATCTATAAATATATTAAACAACCATGGTGACATTACACATCCCTGTCTAAGACCTACTTTTACGGAAGTATTCTCCCTCTCTTCTACACACCCTAACCTGAGCCTCACTACCTCATAAAAATCTTTATATATATATATATATATATATATATATAATATATATATATATATATATATATATATATATATATATATATATATATATATATATATATATATATATAATATATATATATATTCAACAAGCCGGCCGTCTCCCACCGAGGCAGGGTGACCCAAAAAGAAAGAAAATCCCCCAAAAAGAAAATATTTTCATCATCATTCAACACTTTCACCACACTCACACATAATCACTGTTTTTGCAGAGGTGCTCAGAATACAAGTTTAGAAGTATATACGTATAAAAATACACAATATATCCCTCCAAACTGCCAATATAACTTTAAAATACTCAATATTATAATTGTCTAAATCCAGCATGTAGGCAAATTTTTGTATAAAATTAAAGCGACTTTCAGTAGTGTAAGGTTGTATTTACCTTTGCTTTGTAATGACCATTAGCGACTTCGTTAAGGAGAAATTCAATGGAAGCCTTTGTATCACCAGCTTGAGAACTGACGCGAGCTTCTATGTCAAAATCATTATTTTTGTTAAAGTCAACGGCAAACACATAGTTCTCTTTAGGCAGGAACTGCATCTGGGACTTGATGTTTAGGTAGTTGCGTCCGAATCTGAGTTCGTGTGAGGCGTGGTAGTTGATGGAGAGAAGAGGACAGCTTATCTCTGAGAGCGCAGTCAGTGTATAGTTTCCATCATCGTTGTTATATGAATACATTTCCTTGATAGTCCACGTAGTAGTTCCACGGGTTATTTTGCCTATTTGTTCCATTCGCCCAGTGGAAAGGATGACGCTGAAGTCAATGTCTAAAGCCATGTCTCTGTACTGAGATGGAGTCAGTTCAAATTTAGTTGTGTAAGTGTTCACCTCCTCTGATATCTCCTTCTTGATCAAGGCGGAGTAGCTGATGGTGTGCTTCTCTCCCTTCAAGACACTGTACTCTATGTTAGCCTTAGAGGACACGAAGTTATCGTCGTATGCGAGCTGACCCTTGGTGTTGAAGTCGTACATGGGAGTTTCCAGCATTACCTCTACGTTTGCAGACCTGGCTTCACCTTCATATGAAGCTGAAATTAAAAATGCTCTTACATTAGTACTATAAATGTATTTTATTGAATGGGAAACGAATTTCAGAAATAAACTCGACCCACTAAAGTGTGCATGGTCCGCTTCACTCGCCCTGCACACTGTTACTGGTCATCCTGTAACAGTTACAGAAATTACCAAATCTAGAGCGTATTTAAATTCAAGCTCCTTAAAACTGTTCACAAAAATAATTGCTTTACGAATACTTAAAAAAATGTTGGTCAACAGAAACTTAAATGTCTTAATTTTTATGTCCTCAAAAAAATCATATTCCATTTACAGATAAACTGAATTTTAAATAGACCTGAAAATTTTCATATCCCATTTTGAGTTAGAATGAGAATCAAAGGTAACTTTAGACCAAAATAAGGAAATATTAAAGGATAAAGATGGCCAATAAAAATGAAAATAAACAATATTGTACTAGAACTATAAACATAAACTAATATAAAAAGCAAAATTTTCGATAAAGAGACAATAAACCAGCAGTTAAAATGAATAACTAGTAGACTAACGAGGGCCGTAGTGTGAGGCCAGAAAATGCAAAAGGAATTGAATTGTGACTTTATTGGTGAGGCTGAGTCATTACCTCTGTAACTTGCCATGATTGTGACCAGATCTACCTGGAGTTCATTACCTTTGTAACTAGTTCAACTATCATAACTTTGGGGTCCAGTCACTGGACCCATTATGTACCTTTGTAATCTTTTGACTACCGCCCACAGGGTGGGTATGGGGTGCATAATAAACATATTAAACTAACTGTGTGGATCTGTTTATCCTACTGACCAGTACCTATTACCCTTTAATGTCTGGCTATTAGCCTAAGTTATACCTACCATGGAGGACGACTGGAGGAACAGTGAGCCCAGATACTGAAAGGTCAGCAGTGTAGTTGGTATTGGTTACACTGGCCTTGAGAGTTCCTTTAACATTCAGTATTTCGCCTCGTGGAGAAGTGATGACGAGGGAAGGTTCAATTTTCCTTATATTTTTTCCACTTATTTGCAGACCAGTTTCTACAGTGTACCTGGCAGCGTGATCCATCATTAGGTCGAGTTTAATGTGTTTGTTGTTCTTCCTCCAGGTATACTCACCGTTTCCTTGCAGAGATATTAAAGGCGTTTCAAGGTCAACTTTTAAGTTTTGCGCAGATTTGGCAATGGTAAGCGACACTTTGCGGTTCACTTGAGACTCAGGGGTATCAAAGAGGAAAGATATGTAATTATTTTCGTTAGTGAAGCGCAAGTTGTAGCCGGTCTGGGTGTCAGTCTTCTTCAAGTAAGCATGGATGGAGGCTGGTCCTGAGAGCGGGAAGTGAGGACTGATGTCAGAAGTTGAGGTATAGCCCACCTCGGCACACATGTCAAGACCACTGATTATCCTCATGCAGCCTTCAGATTTCTCTTCGTTTTCTACTTCCTTTCTTATCTCTTGGTCATCTTCAAGGTAGAAGAATTTGGTGCTAACATCAATCACTTCTACCTTATCTTTGGGTGTGTTGAAAGTAATATCAACTAGCTTCCCTCCATCAATTTGAACTTTACCATCGAGGAAGGTGGAAGTGTGGAGGGTGGACGAGATCTTCAGTCCTGTGCTAGTAACATGGGCATCAACCACCATCTGACCATCCATTTGTACTGCTGCAGAAGGATGGAAGCGACCTTCGATGTTAATATCCTTGAAGCTTTGTGCCTTGAAACTACCAATCATCTTTAAGGCAAGTGTAGCTGTGCCTTTGGCAGTGAGAACCACTGGCAAGCCCGTGACAGTGGGGATGGTATAGTGAGTGTCAATTAGCTGGTACGACTTTGTATAATCAACATCACCTTTACGGGCAAGTTCCATCAACAAATCTAGTGGGTTAGAGAATCCAGATGACTTCATTAGGTTTTCCAGTCCATGGAAATGGTTATAGTATAACTCATTACCAAAGACACGCAGGTAATAGGATCCTTGTGGCTCATCAGTAATTTTGTCAAAGAATCCCTCCAAGGTAGTTGCATCAGAGTCAGTCTTTTTCTGTCTCATGTTTCTCAATATACTCTCTATGGTCTCTTCGGGGAAATAACCAGAAGGTCCGAAGAAGCGTTCAACGTAAGCCTCAAAGCCCTCTATTCGACCACCAATTTCAAAGAGGTTGATGGATTCTCCAAAGAGATCAAGAGTGAGGTTAAGCATAGCAGACCGTGGCAAGTAAGATTTGCTAGAAAAAATCACGTTGCTTTCTGCAACTGCTCCGGCATTCAGTTCATTCATGAAGAAAGAGGATTCGTAATTGCGAGAGAATTTGAGAGCTTCGGTGCTGAATTTCTTCTGGAGGAGGTCTTCGCCGATTAGTTCACGCACCCACTGTTTACCCTGAGCTGCTGACTCTTGCAGGTTAACCATGTGAGTCCAAATGAAAGATCCAACTTGGTTAACACCTTCTGAAATAAGTCGGTCCTTGATGATGTTGACAACAGTAGGTGTTGGACAGGTCATGACGGCTAGGTAAGCAGCAATGCGGATTTCAGTATCCTGAGTCTCATCTTGGAAGGCGTGCAGAAGGTTGGAGCGGTCATATTCACAAGGAGTATGTCTCCAGGCTTCAATTGCTGCTACTCGGATTTCCATATCATTATCTTCAGTGTAACACTGATGCAAGACAGGACTGGCGTTTACCCAGCGACCGGCATTGCCCAAGGCTTTCAATGCTACCAGTACCTTTCTCTTATTCTCTCCAGAAACTGTACGACAACCAGAACCAAGGTAACTTTCGAAGTTCCGAAGAATCTGTTGAACGCCAGAGTCAGAACCACAGTCAGAATGGAGTTTGCAGTAGGTGTTGATGAGAGCAGAGGTTCCCAGCATGGCATCTTGACTCGGGTAGTGCTGAAGAAGAGGCTGCGAGAGAAAACGTCGTTTTCTCATTAGTATTTCACCTAATTTTATTTTTTTAATATTAATCACACAGTTACTCTAATTCTTGATAACGTCACAATACCGTAAAAATAAATGATAAAAAGAGTAGTGTTAACAAAGAGGTCCAATAACAATAGAAATCTGTCTTAGGTAATAGTGGTTTTTCTATCAACAAATGGGTACTTACAGCTAGAGCAGTGAACATGTCTGAGGTCGGGTTCTCGAAGAAGGCAAGTGAGGTGAACCACACATCTGCATCAGTATTTGTCATGTCTCCATTGATGAACATATCTCTCACTACACCCACGGCAGCAGCTGTCCCTACCAGTGGCATGGCATCAACCAGGAACTTCCTGGAATGAATTTCTTTGGTGTTGGCGTAGATAGTGTTGAGGGATGGGTAGTCTAGAGTCTTGAGTGAGGCCACGAGAGTGGAGAAGAGAACAGGAACCTCAGGGAGGACCTCATTGTGAGATGCAACTTCCAAATCACTCAAAATCTTCTCAACGGTTTCAATCTGAGTTTCCGCATTATGAGTAGAAATCTGATCGAAAACCAAAGTTTTGCTGTAGAACTGGTAATCTGCGGAAAATGAAGAACGAATCAGTATTGATTTAGCTGCAAAACTTCAACAATATCAAAAAAACTTGCGCCTTCTCTATGTTTGCCATTACAGCAAGATAAAAAAAAATTAAAACTTAAAATTATTAGCAATAGTTGAAATGCCGTTATTGGGGACAATATAGAATGCTATATTTTCAGAAAAAATATTGTGATGAAAAGATAAAGAAAGCTGTTAAATAGCTAAGTATTTCAAGACATTTCATTGAGGAAACATTTCGCCACAAGTGGCTTCTCCAGTCTTGGAGGAATGGAGAAGTTACCAGGCGAAACATTTCCTCAATAAATGTCTTGGAACTGTGCATATGTGTACATATATATATTTGTATTTTCAGTGTTGAGCTGATTCTCACTCAAAACTAGTTTAATCTCAGTGTAGTGTTCGATCTAACTTAAAGTTAGTGTATATTAATAACTAATGTGTTGAGTTTGATGTTACCAGCAAGAGGGCGAGCAGGAGTATTCTGAGAGACGAGGACCATGGTAGTCTTAGCCAGAGTAACAGCTCCTCCTTCATCACTGGAGAATGGCCGGAACTTGTGACTCTCCTCACACTCTGCCATCACCAACACTCCATCCTCTATTCTCTGCTGGCACTTGCTGGTGCTCTTGAAGATGGGCAGGCTCTGCACGGGAGAGTCAGCGGCGTATCCACTGGAGGGGATGTAGGAGGTGAGGCTGGGTCTCCCAGTGCAAGAAGCCAGGTTCTTTTCCTTCTTGATGGTCAGAATATTGTCCCCCAGCTCACTGTCGTAGTGGGTCTGACATACGCCGGAGATGTCCTTCTCCAGCACCGTCTGTGCGTTAGAAACACACATAAAGTTACTGAGGATACGTTTTGCCCTCAAGAAGATTCTGCGATGAAGTACATGAGAACATGAGAATGGAGGAACACTGCATCAAGCCTACTGGCCTGTATAAAACCACGTTCTCAAAACCAGTCACTCCTACACTGACGTCTACCAGTGTAGACGCCAAGCAAAATTAAATATATTTCAGTTTCTTTTGCAAAGCGGTTGTTACCTGGTCTCCATTTTAATGTAAGTCGTATAAATGGCTATATATTATTATTATTATTATTATTATTATTATTATTATTGTTGTTGTGTTTATTACTGTGATTATTGTTATTATTATTACTGTGATTATTATTACTACTATTATTAGTATTAGTTAGTATCCACTGCATTGTGCGTTGAATGACCCATACGAATTTATTGCTTACTTTGAATACAGTAGTATTATTAATTATTATTATTTATTATGCATTTTATTACAATTATTATAGTTGTAATTGTTATAATTAATAATATATTATTATTATTATTATTATTATTATTATTATTGTTGTTGTTATTATTATTACTGGGTATTAATCAGGCTTTATCTCAAGAAAGTGAGATTAGCTCCAAATCTTTGGACCAAGAGCCCTTTAGCTCACCTGAGCTCCGTGAGCAGTGGTGGAGCTTTGGAAGGCAGAGAGAACACCGCGCTTGAAGTTGAGCACCCAGGCGGGCTCTGAGATCTCGCTGCAGAGGCTGTCAACCACGCCTCCCTGGAAGGAGAAACGTAGTGGCGTCCTGCTGACGGCAGCGCTGAAGTCCTCCGTGTGGGATGACCCCTCCAGCGTCACGTCCGTCACCTGTAATGTTAGTAACACGGGTCATGGAGGTGTCACTTGTAACGTCAGTAACACGGGTTACTTGTAACGCCAGTAACACGGGTTACTTGTGACGTCAGTAACACGGGTCACTTGTAACGTTAGTAACACGGGTTACTTGTGACGTCAGTAACACGAGCCACTTGTGACGTCAGTAACGGGTCACTTGTAACGTCAGTAACACGGGTCACAGAGATGTCACTTGTAACGTTAGTAACACAGGTCATAATGTCACCTGTAACTTCAGTAACACGGGTCATAATATCGTTTGTAACGTCAGTAACACGAATCACAGAAATGTCACCTGGAACATCTGTAACATGTGTCACAGAGATGTCACCTGGAGCATCAGTAACACGGGTCACAGAGATGTCACCTGGTACTTGCATTAACACTAGTGGTGATCTTCCTGCATTATGTTGAGTACCAGACTGCCTGGTACTCAACATAACAAAGCTGGTTGGTTAATTGGCTTTAAAACCCATCTACTACATGAGTCTCATTAAGGCTGCATGGCCTATTTTTACCACTGATCAAGAATATTTGAATACCCAAAATACGAAGAGCTTCAGGTAAACTCTGGTTTACATATATAGAGATACAAACCTACAACCCTCTCACTTTATAGAGACAGAGGGATACACACCTCTCTGTGAATACACACACACAACACACACACATAGAATCCCATAGTACACTGCCAGGTCCCCCACCCTCACAGACTGAAGATTTTTGTACACCAACGCTGATGGAATAACAAATAATTGGGAGGAGTGGCATGGAAGGGTCAAAGAGGCATCACCGGACATCACAGCTCTCACAGAAACCAAGCTCATAGGTATGATAACAGATGCCATCTTTTCAATGGGATATTAGATCCTGAGGAAAGACAGAGGGAACAGAGGGGCAGAGGAGTGGCACTGCTGGTCAAAAACCAATGGGATTTTGATGAGCAGGAGAGAGGAAACTGGAGAAGCAAGAAATTACATAGTAGGAACTCTTTAGTCTGGAGGTCCCAAGGTGGTAATTGCAGTGATGTGTAACCCACCACAGAACAGCAGGAGGCCAAGGCAAGAGTATGATGAGAGTAATAGAGCGATGGTTGACATATTCGCTGAAGTGGCAAGAAGGGCTCATGCGAGCAGGGCAAAGCTACTGATCATGGGTGACTTCAACCACAAGGAAATCGATTGGGAGAACTTGGAGCCACATGGGGGCCAAGAAACGTGGAGGGCTAAGATGATGGAGGTGGTACTGGAAAACTTCATGTACCAATACGTAAAGGACACTACCAGAGAGAGAGAGGAGAGAATGAATCAGCGAGACTGGACCTAGTATTCACCTTGAGTAGTGCAGATATTGAGGACATCACATATGAAAAAACCCTTGGAGCCAGCGATCATGTGGTTTTAAGATTGGAATACACAGTAGAGTAACAAGTGGAGGGGGAAGCAGGAAGAGCTGGACGAATAAAGCCAAACTACAAGGGGGACTACACGGAAATGAAGAACTTCCTGAGCAAGGTTCAGTGGGACAGAGAACTGGCAGGGAAGTCAGTAAACGAGATGATGGAATATGTGACAACAATATGCAAGGAAGATGAGGAGAGGTTTGTACCCAAGGGTAACAGGAATAATGAAAAAGTCAGGATGAGCCCGTGGTTCACCTAAAGGTGCAGGGAGGCCAAAACCAAGTGTGCTAGTGAATGGGAGAAGTATAGAAGGCAAAGGACCCTGGAGAATAAGGACAGCAGTCATAGAGCCAGAAATGAATATGCACAGATAAGAAGGGAGGCCCAACGACAATGTGAAAATGACACAGCAGCGAAAGCCAAATCTGATCCGAAGCTGTTGTACAGCCACATCAGGAGGAAAACAACCGTCAAGGACCAGGTAATCAGGCTAAGCAAGGAAGGAAGGAGGAGAGATCACAAGAAACGACCGCAAAGTATGTGAGGAACTCAATATGAGATTCAAAGAAGTGTTCACAGAGGAGACAGAAGAGACTCCAGAAAGACGGAGACGTGGGGTACACCACCAAGTGTTGGACACAATACATACAACCGAGGAAGAAGTGAAGAGGCTGCTGAGCGAGCTAGACACCTCAAAGGCGATAGGGCCGGATAACATCTCTCCATGGGTCCTGAGAGAGGGTGCAGAGGTGCTATATGTACCCCTAACTGCAATATTCAACACATCTATCGAAACAGGGAGATTACTTGAGGTATGGAAGACAGCAAATGTAGCCCCAGTTTTTTAAAAAAAGGAGACAGACAAGAAGCACTACACTATAGACCAGTATCACTGACGTGTATAGTATGCAAAGTCATGGAGATTATCAGGAGAAGAGTGGTGGAACACCTAGAAAGGAATGATCTCATCAACAACAGCCAACACAGTTTCAGGGACGGGAAATCCTGTGTCACAAACCTACTGGAGTTCTATGACAGGATGACAGCAGTAAGAAAAGAGAGAGAGGGGTGGGTAGATTGCATTTTCTTGGACTGTAAGAAGGCGTTTGACAGTTCCACACAAGAGATTAGTGCAAAAATTGGAGGACCAGGCAGGGATAACAGGGAAAGCACTACAATGGATCAAGGAATACCTGTCAGGAAGACAGCAGCGAGTCATGGTACGCGGCAAGGTGTCAGAGTGGGCGCCTGTGACGAGTGGGGTTCCACAGGGGTCAGTCCTAGGACCGGTACTGCTTTGGTATTTGTGAACGACATGACGGAAGGAATAGACATCAAAGTGTCCCTGTTTGCAGATGATGTGAAGTTGATGAGAAGAATTCAATCGGACGAGGACCAGACAGAACTGCAAAGGGATCTTAACAGACTGCAGGCCTGGTCCAGCAATTGGCTCCTGGAGTTCATCCCCACCAAGTGCAAAGTCATGAAGATTGGGGAAGGGCAAAGAAGACCGCAGACCGCAGACCGCAGACGGAGTACAGTCTAGGGGGGGCAGAGACTACAAACCTCACTCAAGGATAAAGATCTTGGGGTGAGTATAACACCAGGCACATCTCCTGAGGCGCACATCAACCAAATAACTGCTGCAACATATGGGCGCCTAGCAAACCTCAGAACAGCATTCCGCCATCTTAATATGGAATAGTTCAGGACACTTTACATTGTGTACGTTAGGTCCATATTGGAGTATGCGGCACCAGTCTGGAACCCACACCTAGCCAAACACTTAAAGAAACTAGAGAAAGTGCAAAAGTTTGCAACAAGACTAGTCCCAGAGCTAAGGGGGTATGTCCTACGAGGAGAGGTTAAGGGAAATCGACCTGACGACACTGGAGGACAGGAGAGATAGGGGAGACATGATAACGTCATATAAAATACTGAGAGGAATTGGCAAGGTGGACAGAGACAGAATGTTCCAGAGATGGGACACAGTAACAAGGGGACACAGTTGGAAGTTGAAGACACAGATGAATCACAGGGATGTTAGGAAGTATTTCTTCAGTCACAGAGCAGTCAGGAAGTGGAATAGTCTGGGAAGTGATGTAGTAGAGGCAGGATACATACATAGCTTTAAGAAGAGGTATGATAAAGCTCATGGAGCAAAAAGAGTGACCTAGTAGCGGCCAGTGAAGTGGCGGGGCCAGGAGCTGTGACTCGACCCATGCAACCACAGCTAGGTAAGTACACACTATCCTACCTACTTATATACATAAATCAGTATTATTTCTTCTTTACGCCATAAGAGGGACGAGAATTGGGCGGGAAAAAGCTTGGATAGGATAGAACAATGTTGTGAGCACACAAGAGGTGATAGATAAGACAGGTTGGGATAGACAGGAAGAAAATGATAAGAAAGGTTGTGAGCAGACAGGAAGGGAGAAGTAAAAAATGTTGTGGATAAAGAGGAAGACAGAGGTAAGAAAGGAAGTATATGAACAGGAAGACAGCTGTGAGAAAGCCGAAGTCACCCGGCCACTTTAACTGGATTTTCACAGTTTTTTTTTTTTCACAGAGACGAGAATTTCATTTTAACTCACTAATAAATATGTTCCAGATTATTCTGGAGAGAGATAGAGAGAGAGAGAGAGAGATAGATAGATAGATAGATAGATAGATAGAGAGCGAGAGAGAGAGAGAGAGAGAGAGAGAGAGAGAGAGAGAGAGAGAGAGAGAGAGAGAGAATGCTGTGAAGATAGTACTCACTCTGAGGATGTACTCGCAGGGTGCCGAGACATCAATATGCGCCTTGGCGGTTATGTGTAGGTGAGTGTCGTCATCAAAGGTCCCCAGCAGGGCGGTGGAGGTCGTCACGGAGTAGTCATACACATAACTCCTTCCTGTACCATAGAGCGAGTGCATTACCATTATTCTCCTGCTCTCTCTGCTGCATACGGCTATAATCACACACACACACACACACACACACACACACAACACATACATATATGTCTTTAGGATGATTTACATTGTTGTTTGTTACGAGGTCTTTAAGAGTAGAGGTTGTGGTTTGTTCTGAGGTGTTCAGAGATTAACAGTTTACTTTACCTGTTTGGTAAAAAAATGTGTTGTCATCTTTGCAGTGAAGCGCACATGAGGTCCGTTGACCGGTTGGCCCTGTGGGAGACACCAAGAACATTCTGAGCCAAACAAAATGGTGAGCCAAACAAAATGGTGAGTCAAACAAAATGGTGAGTCAAACAAAATGGTGAGTCAAAGAAAATGGTGAGTCAAAGAAAATGGTGAGGTAGAGAAAATGGCAATAGGTAAAGAAAACGGTGAAGGACCGAATGAAAACAGCGAGACATTAGAAAAACAAAAAAAGAGTAATGACAATTCTCTCGACAAAGTAAGAGACCAAACTCTACCCACCAGACCACACTAGACTGACTCTACCTACCAGACCACACTGGACTGACTCTACCTACCAGACCACACTGGACTGACTCTACCTACCAGACCACACTGGACTGACTCTACCCACCAGACCACACTGGACTGACTCTACCTACCAGACCACACTGGACTGACTCTACCCACCAGACCACACTGGACTGACTCTACCCACCAGACCACACTGGACTGACTCTACCCACCAGACCACACTGGACTGACTCTACCCACCAGACCACACTAGACTGACTCTACCTACCAGACCACACTGGACTGACTCTACCTACCAGACCACACTGGACTGACCTACCTACCAGACCACACTGGACTGACTCTACCCACCAGACCACACGGACTGACTCTACCCACCAGACCACACTGGACTGACTCTACCTACCAGACCACACTGGACTGACTCTACCTACCAGACCACACTGGACTGACTCTACCTACCAGACCACACTGGACTGACTCTACCCACCAGACCACACTGGACTGACTCTACCCACCAGACCACACTGGACTGACTCTACCTACCAGACCACACTGGACTGACTCTACCCACCAGACCACACTGGACTGACTCTACCCACCAGACCACACTGGACTGACTCTACCCACCAGACCATACTGGACTGACTCTACCCACCAGACCACACTGTACTGACTCTACCCACCAGACCACACTGGACTGACTCTACCCACCAGACCATACTGGACTGACTCTACCCACCAGACCACACTGGACTGACTCTACCCACCAGACCATACTGGACTGACTCTACCCACCAGACCATACTGGACTGACTCTACCCACCAGACCATACTGGACTGACTCTACCCACCAGACCACACTGTACTGACTCTACCCACCAGACCACACTGGACTGACTCTACCCACCAGACCATACTGGACTGACTCTACCCACCAGACCACACTGGACTGACTCTACCCACCAGACCATACTGGACTGACTCTACCCACCAGACCACACTGGACTGACTCTACCCACCAGACCATACTGGACTGACTCTACCCACCAGACCATACTGGACTGACTCTACCCACCAGACCATACTGACTGACTCTACCCACCAGACCATACTGGACTGACTCTACCCACCAGACCATACTGGACTGACTCTACCCACCAGACCACACTGGACTGACTCTACCCACCAGACCATACTGGACTGACTCTACCCACCAGACCATACTGACTGACTCTACCCACCAGACCACACTGGACTGACTCTACCCACCAGACCATACTGGACTGACTCTACCCACCAGACCAACTGGACTGACTCTACCCACCAGACCATATTGGACTGACTCTACCCACCAGACCATACTGGACTGACTCTACCCACCAGACCACACTGGACTGACTCTACCCACCAGACCATACTGGACTGACTCTACCCACCAGACCATACTGGACTGACTCTACCCACCAACCATACTGGACTGACTCTACCCACCAGACAATACTGGACTGACTCTACCCACCAGACCATACTGGACTGACTCTACCCACCAGACCATACTGGACTGACTCTACCCACCAGACCACACTGACTGACTCTACCCACCAACCATACTGGACTGACTCTACCCACCAGACCATACTGGACTGACTCACCCACCAGACCACACTGGACTGACTCTACCCACCAGACCATACTGGACTGACTCTACCCACCAGACCATACTGGACTGACTCTACCCACCAGACCATATTGGACTGACTCTACCCACCAGACCATACTGGACTGACTCTACCCACCAGACCACACTGGACTGACTCTACCCACCAGACCATACTGGACTGACCTCTACCCACCAACCATACTGGACTGACTCTACCCACCAGACCATACTGGACTGACTCTACCCACCAGACAATACTGGACTGACTCTACCCACCAGACCATACTGGACTGACTCTACCCACCAGACCATACTGGACTGACTCTACCCACCAGACCATACTGGACTGACTCTACCCACCAGACCATACTGGACTGACTCTACCCACCAGACCATACTGGACTGACTCTACCCACCAGACCATACTGGACTGACTCTACCCACCAGACCATACTGGACGACTCTACCCACCAGACCATACTGGACTGACCTACCCACCAGACCATACTGGACTGACTCTACCCACCAGACCACACTGACTGACTCTACCCACAGACCATACTGGACTGACTCTAACCCACCAGACCATACTGGACTGACTCTACCCACCAGACCATACTGGACTGACTCTACCCACCAGACCATACTGACTGACTCTACCCACCAGACCATACTGGACTGACTCTACCCACCAGACCACACTGGACTGACTCTACCCACCAGACCACACTAGACTGACTCTACCCACCAGACCATACTGGACTGACTCTACCCACCAGACCATACTGGACTGACTCTACCCACCAGACCACACTAGACTGACTCTACCCACCAGACCATACTGGACTGACTCTACCCACCAGACCACACTGGACTGACTCACCCACCAGACCATACTGGACTGACTCTACCCACCAGACCCACTGGACTGACTCTACCCACCAGACCACACTAGACTGACTCTACCCACCAACCATACTGGACTGACTCTACCCACCAGACCACACTGGACTGACTCTACCCACCAGACCATACTGGACTGACTCTACCCACCAGACCATACTGGACTGACTCTACCCACCAGACCACACTGGACTGACTCTACCCACCAGACCACACTAGACTGACTCTACCCACCAGACCATACTGGACTGACTCTACCCAACAGACCATACTGGACTGACTCTAACCCACCAGACCACACTAGACTGACTCTACCACCAGACCATACTGGACTGACTCTACCCACCAGACCACACTGGACTGACTCTAACCCACCAGACCACACTAGACTGACTCTACCCACCAGACCATACTGGACTGACTCTACCCACCAGACCACACTGGACTGACTCTACCCACCAGACCATACTGGACTGACTCTACCCACCAGACCACACTGGACTGACTCTACCCACCAGACCACACTCGACTGACTCTACCCACCAGACCACACTAGACTGACTCTACCCACCAGACCATACTGGACTGACTCTACCCACCAGACCACACTAGACTGACTCTACCCACCAGACCACACTAGACTGACTCTACCCACCAGACCACACTCGACTGACTCTACCCACCAGACCACACTCGACTGACTCTACCCACCAGACCACACTCGACTGACTCTACCCACCAGACCATACTAGACTGACTCCACCCACCAGACCACACTGGACTGACTCTACCCACCAGACCACACTGGACTGACTCTACCCACCAGACCACACTAGACTGACTCTACCCACCAGACCACACTAGACTGACTCTACCCACCAGACCACACTCGACTGACTCTACCCACCAGACCATACTGGACTGACTCTACCCACCAGACCACACTGGACTGACTCTACCCACCAGACCACACTAGACTGACTCTACCTACAAGACCACACTGGACTGACTCTACCCACCAGACCACACTAGACTGACTCTACCCACCAGACCACACTAGATTGACTTTACCTACCAGACCACACTGGACTGACTCTACCCACCAGACCACACTAGACTGACTACCCATCAGACCACACTGGACTGACTCTACCCACCAGACCACACTAGACTGACTCTACCTACCAGACCACACTGGACTGACTCTACCCACCAGACAACACTGGACTGACTCTACCCACCAGACCACACTGGACTGACTCTACCCACCAGACCAAACTGGACTGACTCTACCCACCAGACCACACTAGACCGACTCTACCCACCAGACCACACTAGACTGACTCTACCCACCAGACCACACTGGACTGACTCTACCCACCAGACCACACTAGACTGACTCTACCCACCAGACCACACTGAACTGACTCTACCCACCAGACCACACTGGACTGACTCTACCCACCAGACCACACTAGTCTAACTCTACCTACCAGACCACACTGGACTGACTCTAACCACCAGACCACACTAGACTGACTCTACCCACCAGACCAAACTGGACTGACTCTACCCACCAGACCACACTAGTCTAACTCTACCTACCAGACCACACTGGACTGACTCTAACCACCAGACCACACTAGACTGACTCTACCCACAAGACCACACTAGACTGACTCTACCCACCAGACCACACTCGACTGACTCTACCCACCAGACCATACTGGACTGACTCTACCCACCAGACCACACTAGACTGACTCTACCCACCAGACCATACTGGACTGACTCTACCCACCAGACCACACTGGACTGACTCTACCCACCAGACCATACTGGACTGACTCTACCCACCAGACCACACTGGACTGACTCTACCCACCAGACCACACTCGACTGACTCTACCCACCAGACCACACTAGACTGACTCTACCCACCAGACCACACTGGACTGACTACCCACCAGACCACACTGGACTGACTCTACACACCAGACCACACTGGACTGACTCTACCCACCAGACCACACTGGACTGACTCTACCCACCAGACCACACTCGACTGACTCTACCCACCAGACCACACTAGACTGACTCTACCCACCAGACCACACTGGACTGACTACCCACCAGACCACAGTGGACTGACTCCACCCACCAGACGACACAGGACTGACTCCACCCACCAGACGACACTGGACTGACTCCACCCACCAGACGACACTGGACTGACTCCA